CTAAGCCTAAACAGTGTATAACAGTTACCTCCCATTAAACAACTCCCCCCCATCCCCCTCTTACACACTTAACTCTTATAGATCAAAAATCATTTAAAGCAGGAGACGGTAAGTTTTCACAGAATTTGTTTAATTTGTTTCGAAGTGCAAAAGTGTAAACAGTACATGGAAAATTAAGAATAAGAATACAGGATATTGACGACATACCTCGTAATTTTGAATCACAATCAAAAGGCGAGGATGACACCTGAATTAGCACCAAACTCTCCAAACTTTCACTTCAATCAAATGAAGAGGACTTAGATCCTCGAAAGATGTATCAAGTATCAGCTCCTCTACACGGTAAATCTTCAGTGACATCAGGACTCGAGCCCACGACTCGACGGAAATAACGCCAAATACGAATTTGCGAACATGATCACTCGGCTACTTATTTAAAAGAGATCTCAATTACATCAAGAACACAGTTCAGTGAAAAATTTTGAATGAATCCCTGAGCTGTTTCAGTGAAATGATGAAATAATATTGTCAAGAGTTTAAAAGTGTTTATTTAACAAATAGGGTGCATCATTAAACGTAGAAGTAAGTAATACAACAATAGTCAATGAAATACACAAATTTATTCGAAACTAATTAACAAATAATTAGAAAATTAGGCTGGTAATCAATCCCTATGTTAATCCTATGGTGACATTTTTTTAAAGACATGGAGTTGATATTTAGGGGATTAATAGTACTACCTCTGTATGGTTAGGCAGTACAAGAACTCGACCCCCCCCTCAGGTGGCCCTCCCCCCTATATAGCATTTTGTCAAAGCAAATCCTGATTAGTTCATTTAATCATTTTACTGAAACAGTTCAGGGATTTGATAAAATTAATTGCTTTCATCAGGGAAATGACCTCTCCCTTAGAGATTTGATGAAATTCCTTATTACGCCATTTCCCTGCGACATATACACAAATGCATTACTCTCATTTTGTTTGAATATTTTCACTCAAACAGTGTTTCTCATGTTTTGTTTCCAACACTTTAACAAGCAAAGGCAAAAATCAATTTTGCATTATAACTATAAGAACTATATTTATCGAATACATAAAGATACTTTTTAATGACTACATTGTAAGCGTGTATATATATGGTACAGGAACTTAAAATACTATCGGAACACAAAAGTGTTCCACAAGTTTGGCACAGGTTCCTTAACTTTCGAAACGAACAATACGATAACAATTACACCTCCACTTTACATGAAATATTATGTTACACTTCTGTTTATAAACAATACTAGTTAAGAAAAGAAAAAAAAGGAAACATCCAAAATCTACATTCGAAATCTAGTTTAACCGACACGCTTCACCACGCTATCTTAAGCAAAGTCAAATAAACGAAAGTGCGAGAGACATGCTTCATGCAACTCAAGATATAAAAACAATTTTCCACCACACGATTTCTTCGATATCCCCTTCCCACGCCATCCCAGAACAAAAGAAAATGCTTCGACCCAGATTAGGATCAGGGAGCATCTTCAAATGATTGCTGAGACCAGACGTTCTTAACTACCCCTAACCACCCCGATAACATCCGAAAGGGACAATTGGACGTTATCAAAACCGTCACTTCGCAGGAACATCGTGGTTGGGCAGTGTCATTATGTGCGGTTTCTTGACGTAGAATTTGCACTTCTAAGACACAAACCGACACATAATTTGCATGTTTTATTCCTTCTTTTTATTAGATTATATACCGCTTGTAATACTTACGACTTTGAAAATAAACGGCCAATTCGATACTTTGTGATTTTCAAATACGTTTTGAGGTTTTTTTTAATATAAAACATTTAACTTTAAAATAAACATTTTCCACTAATCTGACTTTTTAACAAGTGAAACATTTTAATTTTTTTGAGAAGTTCTGTTAAAAGATATAGCATTAAGGTATCCGACTACGTTCGGAACCATGGTTTTAAAAAGCGCATAAATGCATAATTTTCATGATATTTATAGTGTCACTTAGATTAGAATACATGTATGCAATTCTTTTAAGGGCATTTTGACAAAAAAAAATTTATTTAAGTACAATATTTTGGCAAAAAATTAACCTAAAATTTTATTTTTTTTTTCAAAATGCTCTCCTTTTGTGAAAAATGCTTCTATTATAATAATATTTTGCCAGTATATAGCTCAGAACTCTGTACATAGGCTCAACTAGAATTTTTGAAATATATAACTTAAAAGTGGGTTTATCCATATTTTACGACGAGGAGAGCAATTTTAAGAAAAAAACGCCGATAATTATTTCAAATGGTTGTAACTCTGAAAATATTGTGAATTTTTCAAAATTCGTAGTTGAGCCTCTGTACAGGGATCTGAGCTATATACAGACAAAATATTATTATAATAGAAGCATTCTTAACAATAGGAGAGAATTTTGAAAAAAGATTATTCTAAGTTAATTTTTTGCCAAAATATTGTATTTAAATAATTTTTTTTTGTCAAAATGTCTTTAAAACAATTTTATACATGTAGTCTAATCTAAGTGGCACTAAATATCATGAAAATGATCCATTTATGCGCTTTTTTAAAATCACGGTTCCGAACGTAGTCGGATACCTTAAAGACTCCAATTAAAACTAAACAAACTCGAATCATAACTAGAAGGTAATTTTAGCACCTATACTGCATAACTTCTCCAAATTTTAAAATAACGAAGACAAACATCGTTTTTACTCAAAGAGTCGCAATTAAATGAATGAAATACGAAAGAAAACAATATTTTGTGCAACTTATCGTTCCATACTAGGATTACACACAGGAACAATAAATCGAGTCATTTTGAAATATGACAGATGATAAAAATGACTGACATTTCCTAGTGTGTGTACATCTTTCTCTATTCCTCTACATATAAACTTTTAGATCAAGTAAAATTTAAGTTATATATAGTGTTTTTTTTCTTTAAATTTTTTTATTTAAATAAATTTAAGGTATCCGACTACTTTAAATTCTCGAATTTCGTCGAAAGTTGACAAAATTGTTTTGAAGTTTAATTTTGTAGGCCAATTTATTAGGCTTATACAAATATCAAATTTTTTATTATTATTATTTTCTATTTAGTAGTACAAAAGTTACAATTGCTTTAGTAGGAGCGGATCCCATTTAAGAACATGCATTTGCCGACTTTAAAAAGTGTTTTACGCAAAATTTAAAACGGGAACAGAGATTGCTGAAAAGTTAAGAAAATTAACTGAAATTTTTTGTGAATGTTTTGCATGGTATTTTAGAATGGTTTTGACCAACATTTTTAGAAATTACCGTATTACATTATTTGCAATCATTTATATAAATATAACAGGAGTTTAAGCAATTTCATACATAGTGACTAAGATAAACTGTTAAATTTTTTTGCAAAAATTTTAATCTCATATTTTAGATAATTTCATAACTGAACAATAATGTAACATATAAACGTTCAGAAATTGAAAATTCATTCACAAACTTTTTTTGTTCAGAGTGAGTCCGCGTTAATTTTTATTAGTTTTCAGCAGTTTTTTTTCCATTTTGATATCAGAAAACTTTTTTCATTGAAATTTCAGCTTTTTACTCATATAACTTACTAAACAAATCTGAAAACCATGAAAAAAATCCTCGTTTCTATTTTAGAAAAAAAAAAATATTTTCGCATGTAAAATGCATACCATCATTAATATTGGATAACTCCAGACGAATATTATAATTAAATCGCAAATTATTAATATTTACATTAATGTTGCATAGCATTGAATAGTAATGCATACATTAGAAAATATTCAAATACACCTTAAACTTTCAGTAAAATTAAAAATAAAATTTTTAAAATTATATTAAGTTACCGCTTGCAGTATTTTTAAATGTGAATATTGAGTGGTCATTAATAAAATCAAATAATGTTCATGTTATTCAACATTTTTTGAAAGGAAACAAGTTTTAAAAATAAAGGTTTCCCAACTTTTGATGATGAATTAATATTGCTGTTTTGAAATTTCGTAATAAAATACCACTTATATTCATCATATGTTGCCATCCTAAGCAGAAACTTGTTTTCCTTTAAAACAAAGACTGTTTCTCTCCGTCAAAATGCACATTCTTGAAAAACACATTTATTCAAGAAAATGTTTCTTGTAGTGTTGTGTTGTGTTTTTATACTTCTATTTAAGTTTCTATAATTTCAGCGTTTTTATTTAAGTTTTAAAGCTGGCTGGATGACGTACTTGGTTTGTCGCTGGCCTTGTAAACCGGAAGATGCGGCCCAAGTCAATGGATTTTCATGATGCATAAAATCGACAGCGGCCATGTCGCATGATTATGCGGCATGTAAAAGATCCTTTGATGATGGCTTGGAAAGATGTTTGGCTTGGGTGCTCTCGGCAAAATTAAAACCCTTACAGTTTCGCATCCGCATCGCCAGAGTTTAGATGCCTCCCTCTGAGGAGGAAACTGGTCGTCAAAATTAACTGTGTCGATTGGTATCCACCTATATGGTGCGCACTCAAATGAGATATCAGCTCCCTGGGAATGTATTAGGTCTGCAATGGTAAAACACTAAAGCGCAGGCCCAGTGGAAATAATTTAAATTTTAATGTTTATATTTATTTTTCAGTTTCTATATCAACAATATATAAAAAAAAATTTAAGTCAATTCCTACTTTGGTCAACAAAGAAACATTTTATTTTAGTTACTTTTTATTAAATAGTTACAATTAATACAAATATGTATGTACATATGACAGAATCACACTATTAAGTGACAAAACAGAAAGCGATTTTCCTCGCAATTTTCCACTTTCCTTTTTAACTATTTTTTTGTTTGTTTTTTACTATTTATTCACTAATTAAATTTAATTATTCTAATAAAATAGTATAGAAAAAAGAAATCACAGTCTAAGAAATTAAGTCACCCCAGGAGGGATTCGTGTGAGTGAGTAAGTGAATATTAACGTCGCACTATTCAACTACACGAGGGCTTTTCAGGTGGGATTCGAACCCACGAACTTTGGATTAGAAGTCCAGCATGCTACAGGGACACAACAAACGAGTTTCCTTTCCAAGTTTTTATATGCTGTTGGACTAGTATTTTTGTTTGTTACTATTTTTATTCCTTTTTTAATTTAATTAATAAATTAATATTTAAAGAAAATTGTATTAACATTGTCAGCCGCTACAAGTTTAAAAAAATGTATTTAAACTTGAATGGATGAATGGAAAGTATTTTATTAAAGATTGAAAATTTGAACGATATATATATATATATATATATATAGGGTGAAAGTGAAAAAAAAAAGTAGAAATTGAATAAAACCAAATCAAAATATTTTTAAAAAAAAAATAAAATATTGCTCAAATATATTATCCAGTTAAAATATAACCGTATTAAAATATTGTTCACGTTTTCCCCTTAACTTTAAAGAAGCTTCATAAATCTTTTATCAGTTTTTTTTACTCATATATATACTTCCCCCATGCTTACCATAGATCAACAGTGACGTCAAAGATAAGCAACCGTATCGAAACTCGCCTGGGAGAGAAATGGGAGCAAGAAAGGATGGGGATCGTAAGAGGATGGAATTTGCTCTTCCGCATCACAACAATCCCGAGGGTGTTTTCGTGGCCTCTGATTGGCTGCCTTCGGTATCGATGGTGAATCGTAATTATTCGGTAGGAATGGAGCCGGCTTCGGCCGCTGGTTGTTGTGGCCGTAAATTGATTCAAGGAGGTATTGCCCTTCCTGTTGTTTTCTTTGACGATTGCGGAGGATGTGCGGCAAAGTTTCTTGACAGGTTTTCGATGTCACGTAATTAAGATGAGGAAGACTTTATTCTAATTTCTAAATTGAGATCAGGTGCCACGGGAATTTTAGGAAGGAAGCAGCTAGTGAATATACACGGGGATTTAAAATATTAGACTGATTGTGTGTTCTGAAAAGTTAATCACAAAGGGGAAGTCAAACAGAATTTTGAAATAATTAAATTTGACGCAGTTGACGTAAAAATAAGAATATTTTGAAGCGATTCATTTTTTTTATTTATTTTTAACAATTCTGAAGATTTGCGGTGACTTATTAGTGACACTTCATTCAAATAATGGGTTCGAATCCCGATTCCGCCAAGAACAAAATCACAAAATAATGGGGAAATTCAACGTTAAATTCAACTGGGTTTTTAAGCATTTAAAGGCAGAGAAGGAGCGTTAAGATTGATTCATCAGTTGCTCATTAACACTGCAGCTAAAAAAAACACGAAGATTAGTAGCAACTGACCTAATAATTTTGACCATGGTCAAGTGACGACCATAATTCAACAGGAACCCCACACCCCGAAATTCCACACCATTCCTACGTGAGCATTTTAAGCCTGGACAGATCGGCTCCTCTGCATGTCGGATCTTTGAAACCACAAGGCCTCGAAAGCCCGAGTATTCAGAAACAACGTTGTGGCCGCCGTAGCCGAGTGATCAAGGCATCGGATCGTGGCTGGCCTTGTCACGAGTTCAAGCCCAGTACCACTAAAAGACCCGCAGTGTAGGGGAGCGATGCACGTTAAATCTGTCGAGAGCTCAAACGTCCTCCCGTTGGTATGGTGTAGTAGTTAGGAGAGGAGAGAGGGGTGAAATCTCAAGTGTCGTCCACGTCACTTGACTATGGTTCAAAATGACGTGGTCCGTCGCCAAAAGCCCTCGTGTAGCTGAACAGTGCGACGTTAATATTCACTCACTCAGAAACACCACCAGTTCACGACCATAGCCGCTCTGCTACCGTGGCGACGTAGGGGAGAGAATCAGGACAGAGTAGAAAAAGAATGGAAGAATAAGGAAAAACATATGCTATTTCAGATGTTGTCACTTCATCTCAGTTAAAAAAAAGTGGAAAATATACCTGATAGCCTGTGTAGGTCCAAAAAGGTTCTGCATGCGTATAGAGCAGGGGTACTCCTTTTTTCCACCGAGCCTTATACATGTGACAATTATTTCACACGGTCCGCAAGATGAGGATTAATGGGGGAAGAGACGCTATAAGATCATTTAAAATGCGGAAAATGGATCGAAATATTAAAACTCATAATTTTGGATTTTATATTTTAAAACTATGTTAAACTCTATGAAACTCAAATAACAAAAAATAGGTTATAAGCATTTTTTTTACCTAGTTATGGAGTAATATTTTGATTTCCTTTCATCAATGATCCCAAGCCCATGTAAGTTGAGAAATACACATTTCCCTATAAAACAATGATGCAATATTTATACAGTTACATAAACAATTTTAGCTTTAAGAATAAAATCGATTTTTCCATCGAAAAAACATCTCATCATGACGCAATTATTTCCCAACACCTTGAACTTACCCCGAAAAGGATTATCTACTTCCTCGTTTTTATTCGAATGCCATTCTTATTATCTGATAAAATCAAAG